TTTTTGTTAGTATTGTTTATACAGGCATTACCATGTAGGTTTCAATCTATCGGTGCATAAGCTTAATGTGTAAAATGAATTTGGATATGTAGGTGTGTTCAGTATAGTGATTATCTTCGTCTCCACTCGACATGTGAATGTCACTTGTCCAGTGTTAATGAATTGTCCTTTGTAAGTTGTTTTTGTATGTTAATAAACAGTTTCTGAAAGTACACCATTTTTCTATCAAACTAGTTGAGGCTGTTGTTGACAACCTAGTGTTCATGCTACAGAATGAGACCATCACAAACTTTGTGCATTATTGAAATAATTTGACATTTTTACAATATAATACTTCGAAAAGAAAATTTAAAGCTTGAGAATTTTGTTACATTTTTTTTCATAAAGAATTTTTTCTGAAAACAAAGTATTTTTATTTGCTAGAAAACTGTGATGTTTTAGTTAACACAAAATTACTAAAAAAATTATGATCTATGATAGATGTTCAGATCTTTAGTTTACACATTTAACCTAAATGTTTATTGAGAACTTTCTCGCCCATTAGATTAATAAGACATGATTTGATCAACTTATAGAAACAAGAATAACTTGAAGGGAACAGTATTTTAAAACAGAATACTGTTTTCAAATATTTTGCAATGTAAGAGATAGGAAAATTCTTTTTGTGGTAAGAATATTGGCATTAGGTTACTTGTTTTTTCTGTTGGAAAATACTCAGTAGAAAACTACACTTTTTACTTTTTTTTTAGTAGTAGTTCGTATAGTGTTTCTCAAAACGACATTTATTAATATATGCATAAGTTATAAATAAATAGCTCTTTATTTTATAAAGCCCATAAATTTGTAAATATTTACTAGGAACCTTATTATCAGAACAATTATGATTATACTATGCAAAACTGGAGAAAATAATTTTTGTTTATTTGCTTTCTTCAGCCTAGAAATAATACAAGGACAGCACAAGTTTGAAGATTGGATTTTAGATGTGTGTTGGTTGAGAAACAAGAATATTGGCAGTCCCAGTGAAGAACAAAGATTTTTAGCCATTGTATTAGCTCACAACACAGTCCTACTTTGGAACTGGAGAGAGAGCAGAATACAACATAAAATTGAATGTGAAGTCAAATGTATTTTGTATCCTTTTTGTAACTGTGCTTGCTATTTGACAGTAAAAAAAATGGCAATATAAATATGGTGAATTTTTGTAATTTTTCTGAGGTGATTGCTGATACTTTCATTTCTAAGCTTGAAAACTTTAATTTATTATATAAGAATTCTACTTTTATTGTAATTATCAATCAGAATGTTATCCAGCTTGGATTCAGTAATGTCTCTTATTAAAGTAGTTTGGTTAACATTTAAGATAAACTCATGTAGATAATATTGTGCTAAGATGGTTCACCAAATAGTATTTGTATGTTATATTGAACCATTCTATGAAGTTATGTTCTTACATGTATTACATTTATGGCTTAATATCTTGTTTTTGATGCACATCATTTTATTGCACTCAGTATTACATTATATGTTATTATAACTAGTGTAACAAAAAACATTAGTTGTCAACTTTTGTACACAATAAGACTACTTCACTAAATTATTAAAATTATACCAAAACTTTTGAAGATTGTGGGATCTTGGATATAACTTATGAGTCCTTCACATCAGTTATTTTTTATTGTTAAATTCCTTAACTCTGTAGATATTCTGCATCATTTTTGGGAAATGTTTGGGAAAAGTTAATATTAGCTGGTGGCACTGTGTTTAAAGAAGTGGTTCTGTGGCCTCCTAGTGGAACTTTAAATGAAAATAAAAGGATTAGTCCCTTTCATCGTCTCACTGGTCATCAGGTAACTAGAATTTGAGAAGAAGAAAGTCAATTGACATTAATTGGGCACAATAAAAAATCTACAGCCAAAACTATCTAATCCAACTGAGGGATACAAATTGAATGTTTTAGATTGAAACTATCTAAACTGAACAAGTAAAGTGAAAGTAAATTTTGAAAATAAAACTTAGATAACAATGTATAAACACTCATTTGTAAAACTATATATATACAAATTCTGCACTCAGATCTTTAAGTTTCAGTGATAATAAATTATTAAGAAGTTAATATTTATTTTATTCTAACCTAAACATAAAATGTATTGATTTATTAATTAAAATTTTTAATAAATTTACAGGTCTTCCTCTGTCACTGCTAGAAAAAAAATTTAAATGATGCCATTAATATTAAAGAGTTTTAAGTCAATTACAGTGTTATGTCAGTAATACAGATTCTAGCCATTGATAATCTCTTTATTTTAGGGTGTGATATTCTCCATTCATTACAACCACAAGAAACATTTGTTGTGTTCTGTGTCTGATGACAGGAGCATACGATTGTGGAGATTTATTTTGTCAACATCATGCAACAGTAACATAGACTCACCTCAGAATGAGTTTAGTCTCAGCCAGTGGAGGTCAGGAAAATTTGAGCTACTGCACACACTTTCTGCACATCAGGCACGTGTTTGGAGTGCTTGGATTTTGACAAGTTACATTATCAGTGTGGGGGAGGTAAGAAAGTTAAATTATGTTTGGATACTTTTACAGCCTGTAAGTCAAGTTTAATCATGAGTTATGACTCAAACATGTAGGAAAATAGTTTATTTGCTGACCATCAGAGAGATGTTATTTATGTTTGAGTTTGACAACTCATAATTATAATTATGTTTCTTCGGTAGCTGAGAACTTTGTGGTTTATGTAAGTATTTTTCTCCGTGCCATTTTTATATTGCATAATATACATATTTAAGAACAAGCAAAATGATAATTTAGCTTATCAAAGTTACCCATTCAGTTTGAAAAACAATGGAGATCAGAAACCCAAGTTAAAATGTAGCCTTTTGTGTGTTTACATATTCAACAAAAGTTTGGGCAAATTCACACTAACTACACATAACTTATGACAATACAAGCATTACTAATGCTTGTTTTAAAAAAGATTTATATCTGATCCTTTTTGATTTATTTCTTACCTAATCTAAAAGTAGTTGTTAACTAAGTATTTTCCTTGAATCAGTATTTTTTATTTTGTTTTAGGACTCATCCCTATGTATATGGGATATGTCAGGAAATCTACTCAGAAAAGATAAGTGTCACAATGTGAGTAATTTGTTATTGTTACTCTGATATGAATTTTAAATTTCTTATTTGTTTTTATATTGTTTTTCGTTATTATAATAGTAGAGTTTGATGGTTTGACTGTATATAACATGATGGTAATGTAAAAATACAATAACTTCTTTGATAGATATGGACATCAACCTTGTGAGATATAATTTGACCACATGAATGCTGTAAATATGCCATAATCACAGATTCCTATACATTTGTTTTCTATTTTAAACTCTAAAGGCATAATCCACTTCATTTAGCAAAAAGAGCCATTAATTTTTACAAGCAAAGGAAAATGTGTTCTGTGTAATGCTATCCAACAACCTAAAGGTTGTTTCCAGTTGTGTATTTTACTGTTTAAATAGGGGGACATCTTGATTATAAGTTTCTTTGCTTGAATATTTACCAGCGTAAGATCATAATCATGTTACATATTTTCTGGTAATTGTGTGTGCAGAATGAAGTCACTTAATATTTTCTATTTAGGGAGGAAGTGTTTGGAGCCTTACAGTAAATGAAGAGGAGACATTAGCTGTAAGTAACTTAGTGGTTAAACATGGCACTCTACCATTGATGCTAATAGCAACTAAATAAGTAAGTAAAGTAAAAGCATGCTGGTGTCAATTTCCGATACGGTACATTACCTCTGCTCATATAAATAGCTGTTCTCATTCAGTGTTGCCCTCTATATTCAAACATTTTTTTGCATGCTACAAGCCTTGAGCTCCCACACACTTTACAATCAAATGATTCAACTGCGTCTTGTATGTAAAGCTTCATGCGACAACTCTCCACCAATAGGAGAGTGACATACTCTCCTGATGCATACGACTCCCTCTATTCTACTGAGCTATCACTTCTCATTTGACAGTACTTCTGTCAAGACAATTTTTTTTGTGCTCTTCAATCATGTTTTTTATTCAAACTTGTGCTTTGTTTTTAAATATTAATTCCAAACTTATTTTCCTTGTTTTCTTTTTTTTTCTTTCATCAAACGGTTATGTTTGATTATTCATTGTTACACAAAGAATTCCTAGGTACAAGTTACCACTTTGGAGGTAATATCTTTTACTAGCACACTCACACAGGCTACAGATGGGGGTAACTCATTTATGGACTTATTGGTTCTCATCTGCTGTGAGATTGATTGTTATATGATTCAACCTGCTTCTCCTGGTGTTGCCTCTATTCCTCCTGAACATGCCAAAGCTGTTTAAGTCGATGAGGATTTTGACAGCTTTTTTTCCTCCACCTGATTTTTCCATGTCTTGCTATGCCCCTACTGCGGAATCAGCTAGGCCTTATACAGCTTTTTTAGACATGATTTCTCATATATGTTTTATTTAATCCATTTCCTTGATTTTGTAGGATCCGCTTCCTTCTTTGTAACATGATACCCCCTTCTCTTAGTATTTGGTTTTCCCCCTCTCCAGATATTAAGTTTCATGCAGAGCATTTTGTTTCTCAGATGGTTGATGGTGCTAGCATACCTCGCCCTCTACAGGCTTCGGATCAGTTTGTTTGGACTACCATTAGGCTGAATGTCCATTTCTCGATTCTCAACAGTTGGAGTCGATTTTGCCTGTGGATTTGGCAGACTCTGATAATTTTTTCTGTTTATCCTACACTCAATTTTCCCACCTTCATCTTACCCTATTGACTTTCATATGGTATTTGTCTACCATCCTCCTCCTTTCTAAGGTGATCCACTGAGATTCTGAGGGTTTTTTGAGGAATAGCTTCTCCCTGATTACTTCCACTTTGGCACGTGTGTATTCTTCGGCTCTTTCCTTATACACATGGTTTCTCTGTTAGGATTTCCTCGGGAGGGACAACTCTGTTTTGTCCCAGGTTCATATATCACATCTGATCTCTGGGACTTACATATGGTCCTTTTTATACAGCAGTATGTTTTCGGTAATATTCCTGAGACTTTGGAATCTCGTGTGGAATCGATGAGACAACAAATGACCCTTTCTTTTTTGGTGGATCGCTTGTCTTATTCAGAACTTAGACAAGCTCTATTACTGTTTTCCATCCTGCTCCTTCCCAGCCCTTCCTACCTCCAGATGTACCTCCTCCTCTCATCATAATATTCGATACAGATGGACACATCACCAACAGTACTGGTGACTACCCGGCAAGTTCCGGTCCAGTGAGGGCTCGCTTGACTGATTTTGTTCCCCTTTGGTGACTTTCAGCTACAGATCTGTGAGTTATTCAGGTATTAACCGAGAGACTTATCATCCTCTTCCTTTCCCCTCCTCCATTGTCTCAGGTACCTGTATCCTTTTTATTGCCTGGGATCCTACCATCAGTCAATGTCTGTTCGAGGCGGTATGAAATCTTCTCTCCCAGAATGCTATCGAACCTGTAACTCATCCTTTAACATGTTTTTATCCCAGGCTGTTTGTGGTACTCAAGGTACATCGGGTACTGATGATGACAAAACCTTGTCAAAACGTTGTACATTTGCTGTTATCTTAAACTTATACTAAAGTTTTTCTTCATTAACCGTTCAAGCCATCTCCAGCCATTATTAGTCTCAAAGTGGGTTCCTCGTCATCAAATTTACTTTGCCTCTGTTTGAACCTCTGTCCTCGTGGTCAATTTTTCACTTATCTCGTAAGTGAATGGGTAAGTTATCTTTTGTGTGTGTGTGTATATATATATATATATATATATATATATATAT